TTTATACTGTTTTTATAATTAAAAGGATTTCATAAAGTCCATATTCCTGTGTATGTTTGAATAGTCAGAGAGAAGCTAAAGAAGTGGGAATGGTTGCCGAGAATCCAGGGGAGATAATTTCACTATTTAGCGAGGAAGGTACCAGAATCTGGGCGTAGCTGGGGCCGCGCAGAGGGCGAGGGAAGGGCCTGGGAGGTGAGCCTTGTGGACCCGCCGCACCGAGTGTGCTTGCAGCCGATCGATCCTTCGGCTGTTGTCTGGACCGAGGGCCCTTCTGACTCCGGGGAGACAAGTGTCTGCGTCAGGGAGGGTCACCCGCTCCGCCGCCCCGGCGTTATTCACCTCACGGTCACCGGGGCCCGGAGGTGCCCAATCCCGAGTCGCGGGGCGTGTGAGGTTCTGTGCGGTGACTCCACGGAGAAGCACCGACACGCTGTCCCCGAAAGCGCAGCTTGAGGTTTTCCGTCACTAAAAGGCTGACGGAGAAGGAGACACCCAGCAGAAGACGTGCTCTGTGCCCGAGGTCGCCCGGTTGGTTGCTCGCCTCCGGAGACGAGGTGCACGTACAAGCCGGCGCCAGGGTACGCGCCAGAAACCCCTGCGTGTACGGAGGCGTCGGGGCTTTCGGCAAGGCAGCGCGGCACCTTTCCTGCTTTAAGGTCTGTGTGTCGGGGGAGCTGCTGCAACGGGCAGCAACCGCTGGGCGGCGGGCGGCGGGCGGCGGGCGGCGGGCGGCGGGCGGCGGGCGCGGTGTGCGCACGGACGGGCGGGCGGCGGTGCCTGCCCTGCCGCGGACTGCTCCCCGGCCTTGGCCTCACCTGGGCGCGCCCACCGCCTCAGCTGTCCTGCTCCGCTCCCGCGAGCTGGCACCTCCGCCCGCGCGGTCTCCTAGACGCCCGGTCCCGGGGGCTCCGTCGGGGCGACCCCGGCCGTCGTGACTCCGCCGTCGGGTCCCGGCTTCCCGCGGCCGTGAGCACCCGCCTGGGGCGGGGAGGCCCCCTCGGCCGCGGCAGCCCGTCCCGTCGGTGACCTGGGGTGTGCGCACGTGGCGGCGGTGCAGGCGCCCCCGCGGCCCGGCGTCCTCCTGGGTCACGGCGACAACCAGGGAGGGCAGAGGCCCGCTGTCCGTCCCGCTGTCCGTCCCGCTGTCCGTACCGCTGTCCATCCCCGCGCCTCCGCCGCGGCCCCCCGCGCCGCCCGGGCCTCCGTCCACACCGCTTGACGCAACGCCGACCCTAGTCCCGGCGCCCGGCGGAGACCCCGGGCCGCCAGCAGCCCCAGCCCTCACTGAGGAGCGGTCCCGCCCGGAAGGAAGGTCGCGGGGTCACGGGCCGAGGCTCTTCCGGCTCCTCTGGCCCTTCCGGCCGCGGGGGGCGGGGCCCCGGGGCAGCCTGCGCGCCGCTCCTCAGCACTTCCGGGCGCGCCGGGGTCACGCGGGGGCGCGGCCTCTGGAAGCTGGTGTCCGGGCCCGCGCCTCCAAGGCCGCGACGTCACCTCGAGAACGTTCTAGAATGGCTGAGCGGGAAGATGCCCGTCCCGGGGACGCCCGCCCGCCCGCGACACGACCCACGGGCCGCGCGCTCCCGGCACCGACCCGCGGCCCGGCCTCCCCGGCCCGAGGCCTTCGTGCGGCCGCTGCTGCGGTCCCCTCCACCGGCTCGTCTGCGCGGCCTCCGCGGCCCCGCGCACCTCCCAGAGGGCTGTGCGCTCCGGCCCGGGGGGGGGGGGGGGGGGGGGGGGAGGAGGGGGGAAGGCAACACCCATGACACCCAGCCTCCCCTCCCCCTCCTCGGGGGCTCCTCCTCTGGGGGGCTACTCCTCCAGGAACTCCTCCCCCCTCCCCCTCCGCTCCGGGGGGGGGCTCCTCCCCGGGGGCTCCTCCCCCCCCTTCCCGGGGCTGCTCCTCCCGTGCCCTTCCCAGGGCTCTCCCCCTTCTCCCTCCCCCCTCCGTGGGCTCACTCGGTGCCCTGCCCCAGGGGGCCTCCGCCGAGGCGGGGCCCTCACAGCAGGTGCAGCCTGCCCTTTCTGGACCATGTCCTCTGGCGCCGTCCTCCCTGAGGAGGTGCCCTCGGAGCAGCCCCTGGGTCACCCTGGTCCCCGGGGATGGCGGGACCGGGAGTCCGGTTGTCCCGCTCTGACGGGGAACAGCCAGAGCCACGGCCGCCCCACTCCCTCCTCCTCCTCCTCCTGCTGCTCCTCTTTCTCCTCCTTGTCCTCCTCCTCCTTCCCGTTCGTCTTCCTACTTCTGCTCCTCTTCCTCTTTCCTCTTCCTCCTTTTCCTCCTCCTCGTCCTTCTCCTGCTCCTCCTCCTCCTCTTCCCCCTGCTCCTCCTCCTCCTTCTGCTCCTCCTCCTCTTCCCCCTGCTCCTCCTCCTCCTGTTCCTGCTCCTCCTCCTCCTCTTCCTCCTGCTCCTCTTCCTCTTCTTTCTGCTCCTTCTGCTCCTCCTCCTCCTCTTCCTCCTGCTCTTCCTCCTCTCCCCCTGCTCCTCCTCCTCCTGCTCCTCCTTCTCCTCCTCCAGCTCCTCCTCCTTCTCCTCTCCTTCCTCCTCCTCCTCCTCCTCCTTACCTCCTTGTCTCCTTGAAGAAGCACAGGTGCAGCAGAGGCTCCTGGTGGGCCCATGCATGTTGGCTCCGTCAGCCTCCTCCCTCCCTGCGGCCAGGCCGCTGTGTGTTGCAAAGCCCAGGAAGATGCTCTCGTGAGCCCGTCATGGGGGTGATTTGTGGTCCCAGAAGGGGTTGAGGGTCTCGTTCCTTATTATTAGGAGAGGAAAGGGGATTCAAGAAGCAGCCAGGTATACACCTGGTCATGTGTCCTCGAGAATCCTAAGGGGCTCGTCCGCAAGACTGTGCCACCCGCTCAGCCCTTCAGCGCGCTGGACGTCTTGCAGACTCGGGAAGAGGTGTTGACTTAAGACTGGGCCAAGGGCTCAGGCCCTAAAGCTGAGCACTCACCACCTCACAGATGCCCATTTGCTGAACGGTCCTGGTTCTCCCGCTCGTTGCCTCTGGCCCTGGTCTCGATCCTGCACCCGAGAGCTCGTGTCCTCTGGTGGTGGATGCCAAGTGCCCCGGCGCCGTGGATTGGTTGTACCTGGGTGAACGTTGCAGAGAAGATGGGAGTGGTCGGTGATCTTTGCCTGAGTTCCAGAAGCCTCCTGGCCGCGGGTATCTGCACTAAAGCCCCAGCTCCCATCCTACTAGCTCTGGAGAGCCCTCGCCTGATAAGCAGAGATCTAAACTGGGAAATCTCCCTCAATCCCCGTACAGGACGGTGGTTCTCACTCTGACGTGCAAAAGGAGCATCCGAGTGATCTGATTACACTCGGGTACCCAGCCTCGGCACCAGGGACTCTAGCTCAGCAGGCTTCGGCTATGATCCAGGAACTGCCCGCTTCCAGTGAGCCCCCACCAAAGCTGCCCTGCATGGCCTGTGCCTGGGGACCCTGGCCCAGTGGCTTAGAGTTGGGCCTGGAACCAAGGTCCAGGGGCCCCTCTCTGCCTGTAGGATAGGATAGCGGTAGGTCCACCCACGGTCTCAGTCACTCCACCCGGCAAAAGGCGGTAAGAAAACCACCTCCGTAGGGTCGCTTCAGGATAAAACAAGGGCATCTTATAGAGGGCTGGGCCTGTACCCCACACCTGCCAACCCCCACTGTTCTAGGATTGGTGTTAATTAGCTCAAGCTACCGAGCCAAAGAAGACCACGGAAAGCTTGGATTTTCTGGGCCAAACAGGCATTATATCTTGGGTAAATCTCTGAAGCAAGACACTGCGTTCGACAGAGACCCCTCTGCCCCCCGAGACTCTCACACACAGGAGGCCCTCACGGGTACAGAAGGTGTTTCCGTGCATCTTTAGACCTCTCGGGCCGAGCGGGTAGAAGAGAAGGTGAAGGTGATGGCTCCGCTATGTGATGATGTCACGGGAGCACTTGGTTTCCTCATCCGTACAGTGGGCAGGGTGAGCGCGTGCCCACATCGTTCTGAAGAACAGATGAGGGAGGGGACATGTAAGGCCCTGGGTGTGGTCATGGCGCCAGGGGTCCTCGGGGGGCCTGTTGGCTTTCCCATCCCGGCCCTTCTGATGTGTGTCTGTAGCCACTTATTCAGACAGACATTGATCGGGAGAAAGGAACTGATGAGTTTTCACAGCAGCGTGTCCTGCTTTTTTGAGAATCTGTTTTCCTGAAAGACTTAAAGTCCTACTTTCAGTACCATGGCTTAAGATTTTTCGACTTTATGATGGTGTGAAAGCAAGGGGCATGCGGTAGAGACTGTACTCTGGGTTTGAACCTGGCTGTCTGCCGAGGCTGCGCGGGGACACAGCCCCCAGGGCCAGCGGCCGATGCTCATCCCGCCGTTTGGGACCCGCGCAGCTGTCCTGTCTTTCACTTCGCAGTATTCCATAAGCCATGGGCTCGCCAACGCTCCGCTCTGTAAGACAGGCTGGAGTCAGGGGGCTTTGCCCACCCGGAAGCCACTGTCGAGTGCTGAGCACCCCCCGGCTGCCGGGCCCGATCTGCCACGTTCGGTGAGTCAGGTGCCTGAAGCGCACGTCGACCAAACGGTGGTTTAACTCAGGTTGGGTTTGTCGGATGTGACTCCACCGCAGGTGGAGGAAACGTGTGTATTTATTGTTTCGTGTGCATATTGTCATCGTGAATCTGCGTACGTGTAACACAGAGTTACTGCTTCCGCTCACCCGGGCCCAGGACCGAGCCTACAGGACAGTGATGCCGGGTCACGGCCGGCAAGCGGCGAATCAGCCCGGGCGGTCCTGTCCATATGCCTCCATCCACGTTCCCGTTTACACACACACACACACACACACACACACACACACACACACACACACACGTGTACTCTCAGATTTTTGCGCGGCCGCATTTAGCTGGGGGAGCCACGTCCTAGCGGGCGCGCCCCGGAGGCACCACGAGGGGGAGCCCTGGCTGCACCTCCAGAAGCAGGTGCGCCCCAGGCCGCCAGAGGCCAGGCCTGCAGGTAACCAGTAACGTACTGCAGATTTATTAAAAAAAAACACACAGGTAACAAGTCAGAGCTTTGCTGGGAATGATTTGGAAAAGAATGGAAGGCATTATTCCACAGAACATTCACAATCGCGCGCCAGACACAGAGCAAGGAAGCGTCTTAGAAGCATTTGCGGTGCACGATGGACGGGCCTGCCTCGTCGTACTCCTGTTTGCTGATCCACATCTGCTGGAAGGTGGACAGTGAGGCCAGGATGGAGCCGCCGATCCACACAGAGTACTTGCGCTCCGGAGGGGCGATGATCTGCGGGCCGGGGCGACAGAGGAGCACGGTTAGTGCGCCTGACGGGGCTGCGTTCCTGTTCCCCCGCCGGCCAGGCTGCTGGACCTCACTCAAGTTCCAGGGATGCGGGGATGGCGGGTGGGGGGCAGCTGACCCCGGCCCTGTCCTGACTCTACCCAGCTCGGCCCCCAACCCTAGGGCTGAGACTCTCCAGTGAGCAGCTTTACACGACCCCCTCTGAACACCGCACCGCCGGGGTGCACCTACCCCCTGCACGGCCTCCCCTGCAGAGCCCTGACGATGGCTCTGTCCCCCTAAGCTGTGCCAGGAACTCAGCACGACACGCGCTCTCCACAGAGACTGACAGCGGCACCTGAGCACCCACTACCCAGGGCTTCTACCACCGCTTCGAGTCCACTGGGATGCACCATGTCCCATGGGGGGGCTGGGTCCCCCAGGTCCCCGGGGTGGGTCCCGGGGAGCCGCACTGGCCGGCTTTCCGTGCTGCACCAGCCTGACCTGCAAGGCATGCTCATGTCCCTTGAACGGTGGATCAGGCCAGGGGCCCCAGCTGTGTGCGGTGACCCCCAAACACAGCGGCAGCCGAGCGAGCCCCAGTTCCACTCCCGACTCAGACACTTGGGTGGAAACCAACATGGACGCCTGGGCAACGGGCCCGGGTATTTATGGAACCCCGGGGGAAGGCCTGACTGCTGTTCACCCCCCAGCTCTGCCTGGATGCTTATTCTCCACACAGGTAGCTGATACCGGTGCGCACCTACTGTGTGCCTGGGCCTGTGCTAAGCATTTACACGGGTCGCCTCGAACTCCAGAGAGCATTGGGTTCAAGCTGATTACACGGGGACAGAAGGCCTGGGGAAGGGTTAGTAAGTGATGGGGTCACCCTGTTAGATCCCTAGTCACACCTGGACCTCGCCCGGCTATTGTTTTGTTTTGTTCTGCTTTAGAAGCAAACTTTTCATTTGGGGGTAATTTTCCTATATTTTTATATTTTTAAGATGTTATTTATTTATTCATGAGACACACAGAGAGAGGCAGGCTCCTTGCGGGGAGCCCGATGCGGGACTCAATCCCAGGACCCCAGGGTCACGCCTTGGGCCAGAGGCAGCCGCTCCACCGCTGAGCCACCAGGGGCCCCAGATTTTTAGTGAGTCTCCTCTCCTTGGAGCTCTGAGTTCCACATTCACTTTATTCGAGAAGCCAAGGTTGGAGCAGCGGGCCTGGCAGCTCTGGCTGCCACCGTGTCTACACCACACCCCACCCGGGCCACTTCATCTTGAGTGCAGCGCTGGGTGCCAGTCTCGCCTGCAGGCGAAGGAGGGAGGAGGCGTCCTGGCAGGACACCAGCCTCTGGAGGCAGCGTCCTCTCAGCGTGTGGGGGTTCAGAGCCTGGGGGTGGGCCAAGGGCCCCGGTCCAGCTCTCCCTGTGCTGTGTCGTCCGCACACAGAGGAAGTGAGTGTGCATAACAGGGACTGTGTGATCTGGGTCGTGTGTGTCCCTCCCCGGGTCACGGGGCGCAGTCCCCGCCTGGCTTGTGGCATCACATGGTGACAACAGCTTCTGAGAGGCCACCGGGCCTCCAAGGGCACTCTGATGTCTGAGCTCCCTCGGCCGGATTCATGGCACACGGTGTAGGGGCTCTGGGGGCTCTGGGACCGGGCGCGGCCGTCAGGTCCTGTGCTTCCGTCACCCACACCAGCAGCAGGGCCGCACAGAGCGGCGACCGTCTGGCAGCCCCTGGCCCCTGAGCCGTGACCAGTTAGTGGAAAAGGGCAACAGAAGCTGCGGCTCTAAGCCTCTTGGGCGGTAGGTCTGGTCTCGTGCTGTTCGGGATGGGAGAACCCGATCACTCGTGCTGTTTGGGATGGGAGAGGCGCTAGTTCTGTGACGGGAAAGGGACATAACATGATGGAGGGACGCCCGGGGGGCTCAGGCCGTGACCCCGGGGTCCCAGGATGGAGTCCCGCATGGAGCCTGCTTCTCCCTCTGCCTGTGTCTCTGCCTCTCAGTGTCTCTCATGGATAAATAAATAAATCTAAATAAAAATATTTAAATTAAGTTAAAAAATAAAAAAAAGACACAGGTGACAGAAATCATCAGGGCGCGCTGTGCCAACTGCGTCACATGTGCAACCGTGAATCATGTCGCATGCCTGCATCTAACAGACGTCTCCATAAAGCGTCAAGGGACCGGCACGCGCGGGCGCTCTGCTGCACCTCAGTCCCGACGGCAGCTCGAGGACAAGGGTGCCCGAACTGAACCGTGGGCAACACAACCTCGCTTCCCCTGGGAGCAGGACTGAGTCATCACAGCGCCCAAGAGGCGTTGGCGCTGCGGGTGGCCCTGCGTGGCACCCGCCCCTGGCCCTACCTTGATCTTCATGGTGCTGGGCGCCAGGGCGGTGATCTCCTTCTGCATGCGGTCGGCGATGCCGGGGTACATGGTGGTGCCCCCCGAGAGGACGTTGTTGGCGTACAGGTCTTTCCTGATGTCGATGTCACACTTCATGATGCTGTTGTAGGTGGTCTCATGGATGCCGGCAGACTCCATGCCTGCGGGGGACACGCGGGCCGTGACCCAGCCCCATCCCGGGGCCCCCTCCCCTTGCTCACCGGTGCCCAAGATCAGTGTAAGGCGGGAGGGGCCCCCGCACTTCTTCCCCAGCCCCCGCACCTCCCGATGTCCGGGCACCCGGCTCGGCCCTGCCGTCCATCCACGCCCCCGTCTGACTTGCTCAGCGTTCCCCCCCAGCGTCACGGGTGCTTTGAGTGCAATGGGACACGGACCTGCTCGCCCAGAGAGAACACCTCCCTGGCCTCCTGTTCTCCCCAAACGCGACGCTTCCCCCCTTCCCTGGTTTGGAAGAGCACCTGACACAGGCCCCACCCGCCAGGCTGCTCACGGCCACGGGCGCGGGCGGCTGGTGTCGTTGGTGGGGGGGACGCCGGGACCTACCGATGAAGGACGGCTGGAACAGCGTCTCTGGGCAGCGGAAGCGCTCGTTGCCGATGGTGATCACCTGCCCATCGGGCAGCTCGTAGCTCTTCTCCAGGGACGAGGAGGACGCCGCTGTGGCCATCTCGTTCTCAAAGTCCAGGGCCACGTAGCAGAGCTTCTCCTTGATGTCACGCACGATCTCCCGCTCGGCTGCCGAGACACAGACAGGGGGGCTGGTGCGGCCCTAAAAGCCCTGCTTACTTGGTGTCTCCGATGGCGAGGCTCCTTCCAGCCCTGGCCCGGGCTCGGGATGCCGAGGCCCAACATCTGGGACGGCAATGACCTGTGCGTCCGCGGGGAGCCCCTTCCGTCCCCAGCACAGGTCTCGGCCCCCAGAAGGGTCGCGGGGGCGCGGGGGCCGGGACCCAGGGAGCCGGCTGGAGGCACAGAGCGGGGCGTCCATCCTTGTTACGTCCGAGGCCCTTTCCTTTCTTTTCCAGGACTAACTGTTCCCTGTGTGGTGTCGTTGTCCTATAACCGCTGGTTACGCGGGGTTCTCGGTTGTCAGGTGGTCCTATGCACCCCCCGCCCTTTTTTCCTAAAGCCCCAGAGAGCCCTCCATGCTCCTGTCGCCGCCTGGGAGGCCGAGGCCCTGGCTGGGGACCGTCCCCACCCGGGAGGCTCAGGGACCCCTGCGGACCAAGGTGTCAGCGCTAGGGGCGAGGAGCCCCCAGACGCCGCACCCTGAGCCCCTAAGCTACGGGTGCCACGCCAGCCCTGCCTCGTTAGAGACCTGGGTCCTCGCGGGAGCAAGAGGCGGTGCATGGGGAGGACCCCAACTCCCTGCCCGGGAAGGGGCGCTGCCACCACGGGGCTCCAGCTCGGGCCGTAGGAGCCCCGGGCACGTCGGGAAACACGTGGACGCCGCCAGATGGATGAGGGGTGGCAGGGACGGTGCGTCAAATGCCATCATTTGTCTACGGATCACCCCCCGGATACTGAGCTGAGAGAGATTGCTAAAATTAACTTTCTCTGCTTCTGTTTGCTCCCGCAGTGTGGCTACGGGCAGGACGCGCGGTCCCGCCAGGCTCCCGTCCTCCTGCCCCAGAGCCTGGGGGGGATGGGGGGTGCAGGGCCTCAGAGCCCAGGAGGGGACCTGAGGGCCCCAGAGCCCAGGGAGGGATGGGGATGGGGTGCAGGGCCCCAGAGCTCAGGGGGGATGGGAGGTGCAGGGCCCCAGAGCCCAGGGAGGGACGGGGGGGGGCACACTCTGCTCTGGGGTTTGCGTCAAGCCTTGGCATCTGCGCCCCCCATCCTCTGCCTGGACGGCCACCGCGGCCCCGTGCGCCCCTGTTGCTCCCGCGCCTCACCGGTCGTCACGAAGGAGTAGCCGCGCTCGGTAAGGATCTTCATGAGGTAGTCGGTGAGGTCGCGGCCGGCCAGGTCCAGGCGCATGATGGCATGCGGCAGGGCGTAGCCCTCGTAGATGGGCACGTTGTGGGTGACGCCGTCCCCGGAGTCCAGCACGATGCCTGGGGACCAACGCGCACCATGGATGTCCCCGGGGCGGGTGCCTGGGCCCTGGCGGCCGCGGGGAGACGACGGGCAGGAAGGGCCCCGGGGCTCCGCGGGTGGGGGGGCATCTGCGTGGGCTCAAGTCCTGATCCCAGGCCCGGGGCCCAGCTCACCGGGGCTCTGCCTCTCCTCCAGTCTCTCCCCCCACACCTCGCTCCCTCTCTCTCAAATTAATAACAAGTCCTGCTGGAAACAGGGCCAGGAGGGGGCCGTTCAGGGCTGGGCCAGCCGCCTGCCGCCACCCCACCCCACGGTGCAGCCTGCGAACCCCGCGGTGCCGCCCCAGCCCGCAGGCATCTGAGGCGCGCCCCTCGGCCACCTACCGGTCGTGCGCCCAGAGGCGTAGAGGGAAAGCACTGCCTGAATAGCCACGTACATGGCTGGGACGTTGAAAGTCTCAAACATGATCTGTGAAGCGACAGGGCAGCGGGGTTAGAGATGCCGCGGCCTCAGCAAGGAGCTCCGGAGTGCGGCCGTGCAGCTGGGCTCGGGGACGGGGCGCCTGCCTGGCTCGAGGTCGCCCGGTGGAGCAGGGTCCCCCCCCCCCCGGCCGCTGGCAGGCATGCAGGGTCCAAGTGTGCCCTAGCAGAGCTCCGCACCCCCGCTGACCCCGGGGGCGTCACCCCGCCTCCACCGCGGGCGGAGGGGCTTGCACGCGAGCTGCAGCGTGAGCGGCCTGGGGCCCCATGGGTGACGCTGAAGCCCAAGAGCAAGACAGGACGGCACCGGGCTTTGGCCTCTCTGCTCTACGGAAGGCGACCGGCTTGGGGTCCAGTCAGGCTGCGGTGTCTGCGGCGCCGCTGGGCTGTCCAATGCCGGCCCTGGGATCCAAGGCCCGGGGCCGCAGTGGGAGGACCCTGGAGGACGGCCCCTGGCCGCTGGCCACGGACAACACACATGGACGCCAGGGGCCCCCTCGGCTCCTGCAGGCTGGGGACACGGTGTGAGCCGAGCCCCTGCGGGCCACGCACGGGAGATGCCCCCGGGCCTCCGCCTTTCCCCTGGCCAACCCCCCCCCCCCGCCCCGTTGGTCCCCCGGGCCATCTGAGGCCATCCGCCGGCGGCCGGGCTTCCCATCACGCTTCCCCCTGACACCTGCCACGGAGACGGGACTGGCTGTCGGGGACGACGTCGCCTGCCACATGGGTGACTCCCAGGCATGCACACGTCCCCCCGGCAGAGGACGACGCGAGCGTGTTGGTGCAAACCAGGAACAGGCCCTGCAGGACTGGCAGGTGTTCCATCCAGGGCCAGGTCGGCTCCAGGCACTGCGGCTTCCGGCCGGTGACCTGGGGAGCCCCCTGATGCCCGGGGGCCCGGATTGTTCACTGCTTTCCCCGGACACGCCGTCATGCAATGGCTTACATGACGTGCCACTATTCCGGCACGACCTGCTCCCCGTCCTTAAGACCCGGAGGCGATGGCTTGGTGCCTCCCAAGCACAGGCCCGCCTGTCTCCGGCCGGACGCCCTTCTGCACACACCCCACCCGCACCCTGCTTGGCCTCCCTGACCTTCACGTCTGCACTTGGAGAAACGCCGGCACTGGGTCTTTCGGCCGGGGGGGACAGAGGAACCAGGAGGAAGGAAATGGAGCAGACTCGCTTGCAGGGCAGGGGACACGGGGCCGGTTTGCAAACCCAGCTCGGACCCAAGGACCAAGCTCCCGCCGGACGTTGCCCCGCAGGTTGACATGGGGTAACCTCGCGCGTCCCACCGCAGGACAGAGGGCAGCCCCGCAGGCAGGGGGTGAGCCCTGTGGAGGCGCCCGTGCCCACGGTCCCAAGGTCCGGAGGCTGTCGCTGTGCGAGCAGGCGGAGGGGCTGGGCCTGCCCTGCGGGGTGCGGGGTCCCGCAGCAGCCACCTACCTGGGTCATTTTCTCCCGGTTGGCTTTGGGGTTCAAGGGCGCCTCGGTGAGCAGGGTGGGATGCTCTTCGGGGGCGACACGGAGCTCATTGTAGAAAGAGTGGTGCCAGATCTGGGGGGGCCAAGGAGAAACATGGCGACGTGACCCCAGGGAGCGCAGACCCCGGACGGGTCCAAACGTCCACGTTTTTACCGACTCAGAGACCGGGGCTCAGACTGCGACTGACCTACCCAAGACCCCCATGGAGTGGGTGCCTGAGCAGCCCCCCAGCCCTGGTCCGTGGGCAGGATGCGGTCTGCAGAGTCGAACATGGGGGCAAGACGCGGGCTCGCCGCTCCCAGCCGTGAGCTAAGGACAGTCGCCCCATTGTGAGCAGGGACCACGGGGACAACCGGGCATCGCGGCCACAGCCCGGGCGGCTGTTCAGTCCAGCGCCTGGCCCACAATAAGGGGGGTCGTCATCCTTCGGCTCTGCATTCTTAAAAAGTGATGTCGATGCCCAAAGTGGAGTCTGACCTCGCGACCCCAGACCCAGGGGCTCGCACTCTGCTCCTTGGACTGAGCGGGCTGGCCCGGCTGTGTCCTTCCCGACCCCACCCGCCTCGGGCAAGGCTCGCGGGGACACGGCTTCCCTTAGCAGGGAAAGGATGAGCTGGGGATGCATGAATGGGTGGAAGCAGGAAAGTGGCTTGAAAAGGCCAGATGCCATTTTTTTTAATAGAGGTTTTATGGGTGTTTTTTTGTTTTTAGATTTAAAAATTTTTTTGATTTATTTGACAGAGAGAAAAAAACAGAGAGCACACAGGGGGAGGGAGATGCAGACCCCCCTGAGCAGAGAGCCCGACCAAGGGCTCGACCCCAGGACCCTGGGACATGACCTGAGCCGGAGGCAGACACTCAACTCACAGAACCCCCAGGGCCCGCTAGTGACCATTTTTCTTACCTTTTGGGAAAATTTCCCTGCACAACCTGATAGGGACCCCGGGAGGGTTTCCTACTGCGTCAGAGCCTCTCCTCCATGCATGTGCACGCGTGTACCTACAGGGAGCTGACCAGTGAAAGCCAGATATCATGGTTCTAACCCCTTTTGCTACATTAAAAAAAAATTAATGCCATTTTCTCATTAGTCTGTCTAATGTTCCCAATCACTTGTGTTTCTATGATGCCTAATAATACACATTAACATCCTAGGATTTGGGGGCACCCAGGGGGCCCAGCAGTTGAGTGTCTGCCTTTAGCTCAGGACATGACCCCGAGGTCCCGGGATCGAGTCCCGTGTTGGGTCCCTGCATGGAGCCTGCATCTCCCTCTGCCTGGGTCTCTGCCTCTCTCTCCGTCTCTCATGAATAAATAAAATATTTTAAAAAAATCCTAGGATTTGGGAAATCTGGGCAGTTCGGTTGGTTAAGTCTCAGACTCTTGATTTCTGCTGGGCCATGACCTCGGGTGCTGAGCTGGAGCCCTGCCTCTCCCTCTCCCCTCTCCGCCCTCCTCCCCTCTGCAATCCCCCTCAATCTAAAAAACAGAAACAAAAAATCCCTAGGACTGAACTCTTCTCATAAGCTCTTTTATGTGAAATCGGGAGATAAGGTTCACCCACTGCCACATGGAGACGCCCTCTCTAAAATACGCCTTTAGGAACACTCCTCAGTGGCTTGCGCCTGCACATGCTGGGAATGGTTCGGGGACAGTTCGGAGACGTACCAAATCCACACTGTCTACAGTGTGAGAACCAAAACACTTAAGAAAAATGTTCAGGGTGAGTTAAGGGGAAGCCTGGCCGTGTAGTCGGGCTGCTGCAACTCCTATGCGCTGGGAGGCTGGGCCTGGGCCCCTGGGGAGCCGGGTGGGTGGGTGGGGGGGCTCCTGAATGCAGGCCCCGGAGGGTGGGGGGGGGTCCTGGCTGCAGGCCCCGGATGGCCCACCCGGTGTCCCCGCGACAGACCCACAGCGCCCAGCACTGGCGAAGGGCTGCGTGCTCGTGGGCAGCACAGCTCCCTGGAACCGCTTATGTACCCGCTTGGGCAAGGGGAGCATCTCAGGATTTATTTTTCACCAGTAGCCAGACGTTCCGAGCCACGGAAGGTGGTGGCCTGACGGCGGCACCTGCAGAGACCCTCCTGGTACCTTTTCCATGTCGTCCCAGTTGGTGATGATGCCGTGTTCTATCGGGTACTTCAAGGTCAGGATCCCGCGCTTGCTCTGAGCTTCGTCACCCACGTAGCTGTCCTTTTGTCCCATCCCCACCATCACACCCTGCAAAGAGCCACACGGCGTGAGCTTGAGAAGCCAGCAGCCGCCAATCGCGAGGGAGGCCCTGCTGTCGAGGGTCCTCCTTGGGTGCCAGCCGCTGGTGCCCCTGCCCGAGGCTGCTGAGCTGTCGGGGGCACCCGACTGGGTGTCCAGGGGACCCGGGGGCCCGGCAGGTACAGCACTTTACGCTGGGGCTTTTGGATTTCTAATGTCTAAGTCCACGCCAATCAATGTTAAGACATTGGCAAAAAAAAAAAAAAAAAAAAAAAAAAAAAAGACATTGGCCTAAACTTCAGAAGTATTTTTTGATCATCAAAGTGAAACTTAAAAAAAAAAAAAAAAGGCAACACAAGAAAGGGAATCCCCATCCCTGGATGTGTGATTGCCCCGCAGTGGAGGCTTCAGAGTCACCGAGCAGTGGCAGGTGCCAGGGCGCCACGGCGGCTGTTCAGCGGAGACGGGCCTCAGATTCCACGTGGGGGAACAGGCCGTTATTCAAGCTCAGGGTCGCCCGCCGCGCCGAGGCCCGAGAGTACCGGGCAGGCCCGGGGAGCCGTTACGTTTCTGGCGTCTTCACGCCATGGCCGCCGCCAACACCTCGCTTACACAGACGGTCGGTGAGCTGGGCCGTGTGTCTCTGCACGTCAGCGCCACCAACCCTAAAACACACGAGATCATCTGGCAGCAAGGCCTCCTCTCTTCTAAGGTCCAGATCCCCGCCAGGGAGCGACCTCGGGTCTTTTTATTTATTTATTTATTTATTTATTTATTTATTTATTTATTTATTTTTTTATTTATTTTTTATTTTTATTTTTTTTTTTTTAGCAGCCTCAGGTCTTATTTTAGCTCCTTTCCAAAGAGCAGCTGTGGTGCCCTCACTGGGGCTGCGTGACGATGATGCGACGATCGTCTTGAGAAAAACAGGAATTGGGGGAAAAGGGTGACGTCATAGCATCCCCCCGCCCCCCAGCAGGCAACCTGTCTCCCTGGTACTTGAAATCTGCACTTACTAACCTCATCAGAGCTGCATTTTCGACACGGCCCCGCCATTTCTGGGCAGAGTCTGGACACTTGTGGACACGCAGACGTAGGTGCCCTAATCTATAGCCCGGTTTCTCTCTATTCCAATCGGAGTTTTTTGTTTTGTTTTTTTTTTTTTTCTTAATTGCACGGATTCGAGGTGCAGCGCCAGGTGGAGGCTGCTACCTCGGTCCACCTGCACGTCCCCGGGTAGTGAGCGCGGCGACTGAGGACCACACGGTGTTGCTCACCTGATGTCTGGGGCGGCCCACGATGGATGGGAACACCGCCCTGGGCGCGTCGTCGCCCGCGAAGCCGGCCTTGCAGAGCCCGGAGCCATTGTCACACACCAGGGCGGTGCTGTCCTCTTCCTCACACATGGCGGCTGCAGCTGCTTCACCGGGTCCTGGGGGGACGGGGGGGGGCGCTGTCACCAGCTCTCGGGGCCCGTGGCTGCCGTCTCCTCCTGCGGGCGCCCCGAAAGTGCACACACACCGGCCTCCCTGGGTCTCCAAGCCGCCAGCCCCCCAGTGTTGTACAGGCCGAAGCCCAGGTGGCCCCATTCACCAACCGGCCCCCGACCGGCCCTGGCAGCTGGCTGGTCACGCGTGCTCTGAGGATGTTACACAACGGCCACACCTGTGGGGGCCCGGCTGTGGGCACAGACTCGAGGCACCCGTCCTCCATTACAGGAGCCCCTGGAATTCGCTCCCTGAATCAACTCAAACGCATTTTTCTAGACATGTTGTTGCTTTGATGTATTTTCTTAAAAAGGTGCGTTTTGAGGGACGGGCAACGTAGGAAAATTTGGAAACGCTGCGGTGATGGAATGCTTAATGTAAAGTGTTTAAGAGGAAAGTCTCTTTTGGGTCCGGAGAACTTTCATTTTACCTTTGGAAAAAGATTTAGAGCCGATGGAAAGTGTCTAAGGAGGTGCTTTGGGGTCTAGGGGCCCCGGCTCCTAAGCTTGGATCCCGTGACAACATCTGCAAGACGGGAGCAAACGCGGCCACTTTATGGGTCTGGGGGACTGAAGGTCCTACAAAACTGTCTGTTTTCTTTCAATGTCTCATTTTTATTAATGAGAAAACCCAGAGGCGGGGTTTTGCTCAAGGGCACGCGGGCTCCGAGCTGAGGGAGAGGCGAGGTCCTGGCCTCCAGGTCACAGTCCCTCCACTTTCCCCAAAGCTGAATTAGGTGGGAATATCCCGCAGACAGGGGGACGCGCAGGCTTCTCGGCTCAACTTTGAGGTTGCAGGAGATGCCCCGCTGAGCAGGGGCCCAACGCGGGACTCGAACCTGGGACCCTGGGATCGTGAGCTGAGCCAAAGGCTCACCCCCCTGGGCGCCCAGGATGATGCATTTTAAAATCTGGGACCAAAAATAAAAATAAAAATAAATAAGATCTGGGACAGGTACTATTCGTTCCGATTGACAAACAAGGAAATCAAGACTCAAGGAGCTGGTGTGACCGGTCCAGGAACCAACGACGCCGGGACCTTGGAGACGAGCAGGGGCGCCGGGCAGTGGGCTTGTGCTCTGCAGGCGCAGGGGTGGCGCCTGGGCCCCACGCACAGGCCGGGCCGCTTCCTGAGCCCCCACGTCTCGGAGTCACAGCTTCCCTCTCTGCCCAACGGTGAGGACGCCACACGCGCTGTGCAGAGGCCAGCGTGGGCGCCACACTTTTTAAAAGCACGTGGAATATTACGCAGTGGTGGGGACCTGGAGGCTCAGGGGTGGAGTGCCTGCCTGCAGCCCAGGCCGTGACCCGGGTCCTGGGATTGAGTTCCGCGTCGGGTCCCCGCAGGGAGCCTGCTTCGCCCTCTGCCTGGGTCTCCGCCTCTCTCTCTGGGTCTCTCAGGAATAAATACATAAAATATCAAAAAAAATGCGATTTGCAGTGGCGCACACATGAGGAGCTCTCCCCACACGTGAGATTTAACGTTACGGTTATTAGGGTCATTATGTAATTATTGCCCAGATCGCTTCACTTCTCGTCTTTGCCTGCAGCTGTGGCGTGGAGACCCCTGACCTGTGGCCCCCACTTGTGAGAACGCAGGAGGAGCCGCATGGACAGCCGGCTCTTCCCATCCCCACCCTTCCTGCCCTTCCCCTCCCCTCCCTGCTCTGCCCCTCCCTGCCCTGCCCTGCGCTGCCCTTCCCAGACACTGGATTCTGTTCTGCGTTCTTGGTATTTGGCTTCCGTCCCAGCAGAGTAAGAGGCTAGAGGAGGAATGAAACATGGGGACAAGACAAGACCTGCGGGAAGAGTCGGCGCGCGTGTGGGAGGCGGCCAGCTCCGGCTCCAGGCTTTCCGTCGATGCACTAAGCAGATTTTCCAAACCAAAACAGTTGAGAATAGGATGAATTCTTTGGAAATAGGGCCTCCCCGAAGCTGTGAGGAGATGCACTCCATGAGCGCGCCCGTCCCTACTGAGTGTTGTCCGGGCCGAGGGCTTGGGGTGGGGTGCCCCTTGCACCGCCCCTGCACAGCCCAGCCTCAGCACCAGCAGCATGCAGGGGGGCACCCGACATCAGTAAGCCTGCTTTTATTTGGGAAAAAAAAAAAAAACGCAGGAGGGATTTTCTGACCATCAGAGGGGAAGTCTCTGCGTCCTCAGAAGCCCTGCCGGAGGTTTGCCCTCTGTATCTGCAACCTGGAGGAGCCCCTGGAGGGGTTGGAGTGAAGCATTTCCTAATTAGGTAAAACACACTCAGTGTCCCTTTGGAGCTGCCCCCGGCTGGGAGGGGTTGCTCCCAGCGCCCACGCAGCTGGTGCCAAAAATGAGTAGTTAGTGTCATGGGGGGGGGGGAGTCTTGGGTTCCCAGCTCGTCCCTCCTGAGATGCAAACCATATTTAGTCATGGATCGCAAAATGGCAGGAGAGGGTCAGCGCAACAAGAATGGTCAGACCCTGGGGCTCAGCTGGGGTGCGGGGCGGTCAGACCCCGGAGCTCAGCTGGGGTGCACAGGGTGGTCAGCTCCCAGGGCCCAGCCTGGGTGCAAGGCGGCCAGACCCTGGCGCTCAGCTGGGGTGCAGGGCTGTCAGCTCCCAGGGCTCAGCCTGGGGTACAGGGCGGCCAGACCCCGGGGCGCAGCCTGGGGTGCAGGGTGGTCAGACCTCAGGGCTCAGCCAGGGCACAGGGTGGTCAGACCCCAGGGCTCAGCCTGGGGTGCAGGGCAGCCAGACCCTGGGGCTCAGCTGGGGTGCAGAGCTGTCAGCTCCCGGGGCTCAGCCTGGGGCGCAGGGTATCAGACCTCGGGGCTCAGCCTGGAGCAGGGTGGTCAGACCCCAGGGCTCCGCCAGGGCGCAGGGGGCAGGTGCAGGAGGCAGGTGGCCCCCGAGGCCCCGCAGCTGTCGCGCAGTCCCCGCCCCCCGCAGCCACAGGGCAAGGCTCCGCTGGCTGCCTGCCGCGCCCCTGTGGCCCCGCGACACACCTGGAGACGGGCCCTCCCCACCCCGCCGCCTTCAGAGCCACAGGGACTCTGACTCCAGAGGCTGAACCCCAGCCAGCCGCCACACAGCCGGGGCGGGAGCCGCAGCCACGCTCGGCAGCCGGCGCAGGAGTCCCCACCCTGGTGCAGGCGACGGCGTCCTGGGCACCCTGGCTGCAGCTGTGGCGCTGCTGGCCTGGCGCCCCTGCCCCAGCCGCCTGTCGCCTGTCGCCTGTCGCCTGTCGGGGATTTCCACCCCAGCCCCGGCAGCGCGGGGCCACAGCCGTCTCGCCACAGGACGTTCTTTCAGGGATCCCCGAGAGCCGCTGGCCTGCGGGGGGGCGGGGGGACTGGGCGGCTGCCACTTACCCCAACGGTGCTGGCTGGGCTCAGGCGGCTGGTGCTCGGGTGGCCTGGCCCTGGGGTTATATAGCCCCTTGGCCGGCCTCCCTCCCACTGGCTTCCCAAACAAGGAGCAGAGCCGCTCGGGCGCGGCCAGGCCAACACGACCATATAGGGGCCTCTGCATGAAAGCCTCCTCTCTGCGGGGCCGGGTCTGGGCTCTTCCACAGCATTCCACTGCTGGCTGCCAGCGCCTGGGGACCAGCGGCCCGGGCCTCCAGAGCCGCCGCCGAGGGCCCAGGGCCACGAGCTGGCGCGGGGGGCACACGAGGCCCGGGACATCCTCGGGGCCCAGCCACCTCTCCCCGCGGCGGGTGCGCCCCCAACAGACACACGGCGCCCACGGCTCCTAAACACGCTGACGGCAGGCCGTGATTTCACGGTGCCCAGCCCCGGGGCACGAGTGGCCCGGCCATCAATGCGCAGACACGGCCGAGGGGCCTGGGCCACAGGGTGGGGAGCCAGCATTGGGGCCGCGTCCACCTGAGCACATGGCCAAGGCCCGGCTCCGGCAGCGCACATGCCGCCCCATCACAGGGCAGCTCGAGGCCTCTGCCCACCGACACCCCTGCGGCTGACGCGGGGATGGCCAGGTGCCCACGCAGGTCCCGGCCACGCTGCCCGGGTGCTTGCAAGCGCCGCCACGCCGGGACGGTCCAGGGTGACCGGGCGCTCGACGGCCGCGACCCCTGTCCACCGTGTGCCGGCCCACGAGTGGGGCGCGAGCCTCCCCCTCTGCCTCGTCCCTGTCACCAGCAAGCACACGGCCTGGGTGTTGAGGCAGGAGGGCCGCACAACACAACGCGCACATGGAGCATCCGTAAGAGCAAATGGAAAAATGTATGAATAAATAAAAATGAAGAAGCAAAGTGAGGCGACGCACCTGCTCATCCAGCGGGGGAGCCTCTCCTGCCGCGTCTCCAATCCCCACACCCACACTAGGCGAGCTTGCACGTATGTCCGTGCACATGTGTGACAGTGAACTTTGTCGATTATAATTCAAAAATAAAAACAATAAAATTGGAGACACTAAGCCGATGGCTTTGAGTCTCAGGGCCCGAGGGAGGCAGGACGTTGGGTCTCCCTGGTGAGAGGACCCGGGGCCTGAGGCCGCAGTCGCCTCCAGCCGGTCTGCCAGGGGCCTGGCAACTTCCCGTGGACGCTCCTCCAATGGCCACGCACGAGCCAAGGGATCCTCGCCCTCTCGTGCCCACCCGCTGTCCTCTTGGTCCAGGGCGCGGGGGCGGGGCGGGGGCAGCAGGCGAAGGACCCTGGTTCACTTTGCCTGGGGGTGTTTTCCCCTCCCCTCCCTTCCCCTCCCCTCCCCTTATTCCCTTCCCCTCTCCCTTCTTTCCCTCCCCCCTCCCCTCTCCTTCCCCTCTCCTCCCCCCTCCATCCCTCCACATCCCTCCCTCCCTCCCCTCCCCTTCCATCCCTCCCCTTCCCTCATCCCCCCACGCCTCCCCTTCCCTCCTTCTCTCCTCTTCCCTCCCTTCCTTCGCTCTCCCCCTCTCCCTTCCCCTTCGCCCTCCCCTCCCCTCTCCTCCCCTTCCCCCTTCCCTCCCCATCCCTCCTTCTCTCTTCTTCCCCCTCTCCCTTTCTTCTTTCCCTCCCCCTCTCACTTCCCTTTTGCCCTCCCCTCCCCTTCCCCCATCCCCTTCCCTCCTAACCTCTCCTTTTCTCCCTTCCCCTCCCCTTCCCTCTCCCCTCTCCATCCCCTCTCCTCCCTCTCTCCCTCCCCATCCATCTCTCCCCATCCCTCCCTCCCCTTCCCTTCTGTCCCTCTCCTTCCCTCATCCCCTTTCCCACCCCTCCCCTTCCCTCCTTCTCTCCCTTCCCCCTCCCCCTCCCCTCCCCCTCCTACTCCCTCCCCTTCCTTCCCCTCCCCCCTCTCCTTCTTTGCCTACCCCCTCCCTTCCCTTTTGCCCTCCCCTCCCCTTCCATTCCCCTCCCCCCTCCTCCCCTCCCCCTCCCCTTCCCTCCCCTACCCTTCCCCTCCCTCCCCCTCCCCCTTGACCCCCTCCCCCCTCCCTTTCTTTCCCTCCCCCTCCCTTCCCCTCCGCCTTCCCCTCCCCTCTCCTCCCATTCCCCCTTCCCTCCCCCTCCCCTCTCCTTCCCCCCTCCCCTCTGTCCTCCCCCTTCCCCTCCTTCCCCCTTCCCCTCCCTCCTTTCCCTCCCTCTCTCACTTCCCCTTCCCCTTCCCCCTCCCCTCCCCCTCCCTCCTTCTTTCCCTGCCCCCTCCCTCCCCCCTCCATCCCCCTCTCTCTTCCCTCCCCCCCTTTCTTTCCTTTCTTCATCTATGATACTAACCAGGGAGGACCCATAACTGAAAATAAATTTCCAAGCAAGTGACTGATGGCCTCCTTGTCTGGCTCTGTCTTACACGCCCCCGCTCAGGTCCCTTCGCTGAGAGAACGCAGCCCCGCGTGCGTAGGCGGTGCCCGGAGGAATCTCCAGCCAAGTGGCCACACACCTTCCACATCCGAGGAGTCACGAGCCCATCAGAAAAACACTAGTGTCCGATGAGTTGGTCACAGTTCAGGAAGACTGTGAAACAAACTCCAGGCCACGAGCACACAGTCCTGGATCATCTCCAGACGTACTGTTGTGGAACTTCACCCCGCCACCTCCCTCTCGTTATCCAGGGATCATCTACCGCAAACCCTTAGGATCTGGGGCCAGTAGGATCCTCTCCAGGCCCGTCTGGAGCCAAGGAAGCAGCACGTGCTCCATGTTTCCCAACAACTTCTTGGTGGCTCTGCAGCCCGTCACCTCGTGGCCAGTGGCCCGTGTCAATCCTGCCGCACATCTGCACAATCCGGATCCGGTAAGGAACCTGATCTGCTGCTGCTGTTGAAAATTGGGGCCGTAGGAATTGCTTTGTCTACACTGAAGACACTCCCTGGCTCGTTCGTACCGTGTTCGGCTCCTAGAACTACAAGTCCATGCCGGGTCTCATGGGCCAGCATCAAGACGGCTGTGGATCTTTTTGAAGCTCTGGGGGGACGCGATTCGGGCCTCTGGTTTCCAGAGGTGGGATGCGGTCCTCAAGGCCACCGCGGAGCGTCCACAGACCTCATTTTCTGGCTCCAACCATCCCGCCTCCGCCTCTGAGGAGGCCTGTGGTCCCGCTGGGCCCCACCGATGCCACAGGGCCGCCTCCCCGCTAGGTACCTCTGCGAGGTTCCTTCGCGTGCCTGTCCCACCTCAGGTGACCCCCGGCTCGCCGGGGCCCCTCCACCCCTTCCCACCCCGCCACGCGTGCTGCCCCCCGTGCCCCCAGGAATCGGCAGCACCTTCTCCTTTTAGAACATTTAGAACGCGGCCCGAGTGCCCAGTGCGGTCACGGTCACGGTCATGGTCACAAGGAGGATACGGCCCACAGCGCCTCGGCTCACTTCCACTTCATTGCGGTGCATTGGCTGAAGCACGAAAGACTCGCTCCTCCCTGCGGGACGTCCTGGGTCCTCAGAGGTGAGGCTGACCTTGGCCGGAGGGAGCGGGTCCCCAGGTCCCAGAGGCCGGAGGAAAGGCTGACCCTGGATGGACAGAGGGGTCCCCGGGTCCCCAGAGGATGGAGGAGAGGCTGACCCTGGACAGAGGGAACTCGAGCTGGGCCAAGTCTGGGGGGAGGCCGCTCTCTGCCACCCATGCCTCACATCTCCAGCGTCGCCCTCCAACCTCCTGCCCTCCACGGACCCCGCCCCTCCCACTCCCATCACCCTGGATGGTGCACCCTCTGCCGCCGGACACAGCGCCCAGCGCCCAGCACACAGCTCAGGGCCTTTGCTCGTGCTGCTCTCGACCTTGAGCAACTTTGCCTGTTTGCTTCTCTCCTTCGATGTCTGCTCATCCCCACCCCGACCCCCACCCCGACCCCCGCCACTTCCACCCCCACCCCCACTCGCATCCTGTTGTCCACCCCCACCCGGATCCCTCCTCTCCCACCCAACCTCCTCCCCCACCCCCACCCCAATGTCCACCCCCACCCTGACCCCCACCCACCTCAACCCCCACCCTCACCCCACCCCGATGCCCATACCCCCGGATCCCCATCCCAGCCCAACCCCCACCCTGACCCCTACCCCTCCACCCCCACTCCGACCCCCACCCCGACCCCCTCCCACACCCCCATCCCAACCCCTACCCTGGCCCCCACCCCTACCCCAATGTCCACCCTCACCATGACCCCCACTCCCCTCCCCACCCTGACCCCGTCCCCCACCCCCACCCCAATGTCCACCCCCAACCCCCCAACCCCCCTCTCTCCTCCTCCCCCCATGCATACAGGGCAGCCTCCTCCAACAGAACTTCCCGCCACTGGTGATCATTGACCCCTGAAATGTGGGGACGAGTTGAAATTTTTATTTTATCTTAATTTGAATAGCCCATATGTGGCTAGTGGCAGCCACACTAGGAAGCACACGTACAGGAAGTGACTTTTGTTTCTTTTTAAAGATTTTCTGTATTTATTCATGAGACGCAGAGAGAGGCGGGGACGCAGGCTGAGGGAGAAGCAGGCTCCCTGTGGGGAGCCCGATGCGGGACTCGATCCCGGGACCTCCTAGAGGGCTGAGTATCTACAGGAATCATCCAGAATGGAGCCTATGTCTGCTTGGACCCCTAATGACTTATATCTGTAGACAAATTGGAAATCACGGGCCCGAGGGGCAGGATCACGTGTGTCCTGGGGTCCTTCCCACCTGGTGACAGGTGCACCAGGTGTGCCTGACCTGGTGGACGGGCAGGTTTGCTGGGCTCAGGGGAGACCACTGGTCACTTATTTAGTCTAGAGACCATGTCGCAGATCCTTGAGGCACTAAATAGTGAATAAATACAGGATTGTTGGTGTTGCCACCGTGGAGCGTTTGGGAGTTGGAACCGTCCGCGTCGGGGGGTGGGGAGGAGAGGCCGAACCACGGGCTCCGACCCGGGGTCACACGCTGTCGGGGACTAAACACGGAAAGGGGGCTGCTCCGCGGCAGCCAAGGGGCCTGGGACACGGGGGCGGAAAGAGAGGTTTCCTAGCCGTCGGTGGCCGAGGGCCCTGGCCCGAACCACGACCATGTCCTTTCCCGACGCTACGA